TTCCTATGGATGATAAAATTTGGTGAACTGTGTTGTTATAGCATTATTAATACACTTCATAAAGCCAATTAGAAAATTATGTATGTGTAATGTGTATTAAACTATTATATTTTCATGACATTGAACAATATTAAAAAGGCTAAATTTCATTGAAGGATTTAATTTAAGTTTAACTTTATACTATAAAATTTGATTATTATAATATGTGTGTGATTATAGGTATTGGTCTTTATTGTCTATTTCCTTATGGATATTCAATAATAAATGGAAACTTAAAATTATTATTAAAAGAAAAATAAGTGTCTTCTAATTTGTATTATGTTTTTTTTTCCAAACAGTTCTAAAATCTTTTAGAAAAAACATCAGTTCCTTCTTATGTTAATTTACGTTTATTGTATATTATAGTCCTAAAAATATACATATTATCATGTATGTTCAAACTTCAAATTAACGAGAAAAATCAATTCCTGATAGTACCTATAATATACAATAAACGTAAATTAACATAAGAAGGAACTGATATTTTTTCTAAAAGATATTAGAGCGGTTTAGAAAAAACTATCAGGAATTGATTTTTCTCGTTAATTTGAAGTTTGAACATACATGATAATATGTATATTTTTAGGACTATAACACAATATGTAATTTTGTTCAACACAAAGTTAGTGAGGCCAATATTATGTGTATATTTGAAGAATAAACCAATAAATAAGTATTTCACGAGAACAAAAACAATAACAAATTAATTTTTTTAAACACATTTATAACTATCAGATAAAATTGTAATGTTAAAACTATCATATAATTTGTAGTAAATACAGTTATTGAATTAATATAATTAAGTTGAGTGATAATTTTTTTAATTTTCTAAATATAAAATTAGGTATTGAAATATCTATTATTTCAATACATAATAAACTGCTTCATTTTCGTTTGGAAATTTAAATGTATTCGAAAGTTTGCATAATATTATGAGTTTTACATTTAATGGCTTTTAAGTTTAACCCGTGTATGGCAAAATTACGAGAAAACGTTTATTTAAAAATTTGGTCATATCATTTTTATATTTACCGGATTAATGAGGTTTTCTGATAAAAATATAAAATATTATTAAGAGTACAATAGTACTATAAACAATTGAATCTAAATTAAATACTTGTGATTTAAAAATAAACCTTGGAGTTTTATAATTTGTTTTGTATATAATACAACAATGTAAAATACCTATCACGAAATGCTATTAATTAAAACAAATATTTATATTACTAAAAATAAAAATAAAGTTTTTATATTAAATTACAAAATGGCATGGAAAGACGTTTATTAGAGTATTATGAGTCAACTTTTAACAATTAGATCAAGTATAAAGTAATATATGATAATTATTAAACTTCAATAAATGTAAAGTATACAAATAAAATTATATTTTTTATTAGGTACACTAGCTAAATTTAAATAGAATTGAATACCTAAATATTTCAAACTTCGATTATTATTTAAAATATTCAAAAACTTAAGTTTAATTCATACTGTTTATAGTGTATAGATTACATTATTTGATGAAATATAAATAATTTAGTAGCTTAAAGATAGTTTAATAAGTTCTTTAAGAAATGTTATTATAATTAACATAATTTGTAAACTGATGACTCGAAAATTTAAAAAAAAACTACACACTTGTTAATAGTTGTTCATCAAATGTTCACAATCACAATCGATTACAAAGACACATTATATGTTTTTAATATTAATTTAAATGCATTTTCTTAAGTAATTCCTTGAAAATGATTATTTGTTTATTTTATTTTTTGAACTTGAAACATAAAAAAAAAAATACTTTAATTCTTTTTTCATGACATTTAGAGTTCCTCAGTAAAGTTAACGTGGGCAGGTTAAACATTCACTAAGCCATGTTGAACTGACAATTATTATAATTATACGGATCGTATAATACAGTAACTGAGTAGCTCACCGATTTTAAATTTTAATTGGCAAATGGCAATAAATAATTTTTTTTCATGTGTCGGATTGCATGATTTATTTTCACGATCGTTTTACAACTGCTGGGATGTGTCAATGAAGTAAAATACGATAATATATACATATATATATATATATATATATATATATATATATATATATTATTGTATGTGTGCCCGGATATACAAAAACTGTAAATGAAAAATCTACCACCGTCGAATATAATGATTTGGATATATTTCCAACCGATTCCCCAGTACCAAACAACTTTGTCGGTAGTTTCAAATACTTGAGGGATTATTACGCGCCGCACGTGCATACCTTCGGGTTATTATTTCAGTAAAATATATTATAATATACATGTATTTCATTTGATAGTTTTTGACATAATTCTCTTCGTCTGCAATAGGGTTAGGTTAGGAACGCAATCCCTATGATTTTCACCGAATCCACGTGTCCACATATTTTAGAATATGGATTTATCGAATGCCATTTAATTAATACCGCACACCATCGAGTGCCCGCAGCTCAAAATGAGAAAATCGTTTGCGGCGAGTGAAAAAAAAAAAATAAATGAGTAAAAGGCTAAAGAGAGTTAAAGAAAGAAGATAAAAAAAAACAAGAATGAAATACCTCAGTGTGGTCGGGATTGGAATTCAGTGCTTATATTAAAGAGAGGAGGGAAAACCAGCGGTAGCATCGAGTTCATTTTCCTCCGTTCAAAGAAAATGTTTGATGTGCCGGTTCTTTAGAAATCTCGAGTTGATAAGATATTACACTTTACGCACGCACGCGTGTATGTGTGCTGTGGGTGTGTATCAGTGTGTGTGTCTGTTATATAATAACAAGGAATGCTAAAAATCAAGGTTTTGAAAGAAGAAGAAAAAGTCCCTCACTTTTTTTCGTTTCAGCCTTATGCCTATATATATTGCTCATTGTTTGAAGCTCAGTTGCGTGGACGTCAACATATTATATAGTAATAATACGATTCAAATGTCTGTGTCATTAAATGAGTATACGACAGTATATAATGTGGTTGTTTTAAAGTATATTATCACTTACTGTTTAGTGTTTACCCATACCAGCGGTACCCGACCTTTTTCATTCTACGTCCCCCATGTAAATTTACTGAAATCTCATTTCCCCTACCCCCTTTAATTAGAGTTTATGCGAATTTTTTTCGTGAGCGCTACAAATAAAACATACAAATTAACTATTATATTAAACAATATACACCTATTTACTTCCATTATTTTCATCATTTTAAAAATGTACTATAAATTGGCTTACGAAGTAATAATATTAGGTATAAGAAAAAATATTGAATATAAAAACAAAAATATTAACATAAAGTATAAATAATATCTCGGTCTACCGACTTTATCGACTCTATCGACTCTATCGTTATACCTAATATATAATTGTTATCGATGCCCGATAATCTGAAAACTAATATAGTGATATAAATTTTACACATTGTAAAATGACATAATTATTTTCGTAATTCCGTCATCACTATATTCCCCCTCCCTCCCTGAGCAGACTCTAAATTCAACCCTGGTTGGGAACTGCTGACCAATACAGTGTGTTATTGATTTTAAAGGTAAAATACTCATTACATCGAAGGTTATCAGCGGTTCTGGAAGTATATATTTAGATCATTTTAAGGCAAGACATAACAACATTTTTGAAAAATAATTACATTAAGTCTTAAAAAATAAAAAAATATATGTTTCGTAGTTACATTATTCAGCATAAAATTGTTTTCCAAAAACAATTTAATAATCTTCGCTTGCATTTACCTTTATAAGGAACATTATTTTTGTTCATATATTAATGATATTATGTAGGGCCTACCTTTATATTGTCTTGAATTACATATATTGTGTTTCCCACAACACGATAAGAAATTAACGATTTTTTTAGGGTTGATATTAAATAATACAAAAGGACTTAAAGTGTGTACCATTAGAACATTGACAGAATTCAAATTTTATTTTATATAGTTCTTATAATTACTTGATTTTTTTCGTTTATCGTTAATATTTGTAATGTGCTGTGAATCAAAAACATTGACAATCAATTTAATCTATGTTGATGGTACAAACAAATATAATACAATAGTATTGAAATGAAAATTTACTTTTTGTCTAAGTTGTTAAAATTATTTATAACCATACTTAGTTGTACACTGGTTCGGCGGTGTCCAGACGGGTTACCATGTAATGGAGCTGCATATTATATATATATATATGTATAGGTACAGTCAAATCTCCTTATAGAAAAAATCCCTTCTTATAGAGGATAAGACAGAAATCTCCTTACAACGGAAAATAACAACAGTCCGTTAACCTATATCTCGTATATTTTAGTCTCCTTATAACGAAAAAATCAATGGCCCTGAGCGATTTCGTTTTTGGTAGATTTTAAACCAAGCATAGAAACTAGCCTTCAAAAGCCAGTTTTCTGTTTAGCGTCTAGTTACTCAACATTTGATATGATTCAATTAAAAATAAATAAACAAATAGGGTGGATGGTAATGCTTTATTAACTCCATGTGATATCGAGGTTCTTCAGATTCCATTTATGTGGTTTATTATTTGCAATAAATAGTGATCTGGTATTATAATTTGTGTAGTTCAAAAGATTGTTTGAACAAAATTTCCAATTCCAACTAATTCAAAAATGTAATATTGTGTAATAATATTCATACTTTTATAATTCATAATTATATTTGATACTTCAAACTTGTCACATTTATTTAATAAAATATTTAATTATGTCAATTCAAAAACTGTATCATCTATAATATCTGGCCTATTATTAATTAAATATAAATAAATATCAATAACAATATTCTTATAATCAGTATCTAAAACCAACAAAAATCACAGTACAATTTCAGGAACTGAAACTTATTCTGAGTACATCATTTGTATAATACGCCTTGACTCTTGATTTCATGTCTATGAACTAATTATATTATAGAAATAAGTTTTTGTGAATAATAAAAAATACATATATTCTACATCGTTACAAGTAGGACTGAACGCCGCGTTTGACTTTATTTTGTGGGAAAATGCAAGTGATTCACATAGCATATATATTACAGTATAACTACATATATTAAACTAGTTTGTTAATTACAATTCTTGTTTTAAAGTAATCATGTCAATCAACAATTTTTTTGAGCAATCACTACCAAATAAAACCAAACTCACCTGCATGATTGAAGCTGTTAAAATCGAGTTACAGGAAAACATGAAGAAATTTGAAGAAATTTTGAAGGTACACACTCACTCATTATATAATATTTTGTATAATTAGATTTATTATAACTGCTACAGAATATTAGTCATGGTGGTGACTTCGCTGTGATTGTAATTGTCTATGGTGCATATTATATTATCGATGATTGCGTTTCATTTCGTGTTTTCTTAGGATACATCGCAGTACGACAGTTTTCTGCTGGAAAAACAAATAAATACATGTTTTGAGTTGCAGTGCAAAATCGAAGATTATTCGGACAAACTAAAAGAACTGGAATCAGCAGACGATTACTCGGTATTGTTATATCATATTATTATTGGCCATTGTATTAGCCGTAGTGTTCAAGACGATTGTTATATAAGAAATACAAAACGTTTTGTTTCCAACAATCGGACGTCTATGTACCTATATGCCTACCTTATAACCTTAATGTTTTTTTTGATTGTACGAAAAGGAGTCACCAAACACTTTGATTGATTTCATTTCAACCATACCTAAAGTCGTGAACGATTTGGGACCTGAATCATTGGTCGTGGTTACGTCTGAAAAAGTTGGCATGCAGTACATACAATTATTACAGTAAGTACTTACATACCAAAACATGACATACTTTGTGTTCGCGCCTTTAAAGTATTAAATATATTTCAATTTTTTTTTTAGTTCAGGCCAATTAGAGGCATAGATTAAGTATTTATTTTTTCGTTAAATCAATATAAAATAATTTCGGTAGGTAGATAAATTTAATAACATTACAATCAAGAAATATTTTAAAAACATTTAGGTGCCAAGATAATTTGTGGGAATTATTGACAAAAAAACACTGCATATTACACTCAACACCTTACCAGTCTATGATTTCTACATATTTTATTATATTCGAGATAAGGATAAATGTATCGTATAACGAATCCTAACCTGTTTTTCAATTTGCATGCTTCCTTTAACAAAGTTTTATAAAAAAGAAACTGGGTGATAAATTAATGATCATACATAATATTCTGAGCGCCACCAGTATAAATATATACTCAGCTGTCTAAATTAAAATAACGAGCTTCTTATACTGTCTGAGAAAAAGCTTACATCACTCAGTGTACGGTAAAGTCTGATACAGACTACCTATTTAAACTATAAAGTATTCTTTAATAGTTCAATTTATTGTACCCATATGTAGCTGTGGTGTTTATTTATATGAAAAAAGTATAAATCGTGTGTTATGAATTATCCGAAACACCTAACGAAAAGGGTAATTTTAAACGATATACCTAATTCCAAATTAAAGTCGGTGTAACGTGGAATGACCAACATTAAAGCTCTTAATGAGTGATGTAGTAATGTCGCATTACGCATTGCATCATTCTGTAGTGTTAAATACTTTTCAATATTCACTATATAGATACATACTTGAGCAGTTTAACCCTTGACATACAGTAAAATATCATTCATTAAAATAAAATATACTTCACTGCTCCAAGATTGATGTCGTTAATAAACGGTGTTTACAATATAGTAGGTATACGTGATGATTATAACATTATATTAAATCTGCAACACAAATGTTGTCAGTGTCTGTGGTCTTTGAATTACTTAGATCGTAGATGACTTTGGGGGAAGTATAACTACTATAAAGTACATTTTTAAAAAAAAGTCTTATTTTTTTACGATTTTTTGTTCTAAATTTTTTGCCAGTACCATCCCGCAAATTACAGTTGTTCTTCTCCGATCATTCAAATATTTAGTAAAAACAAAAAACCATTCATTCGACGTTCGTCGAAAAAAAAAACTCGACACTAAATAATAATTTCAACTGTAAACCACATGACTGCACCCACAAACATAATGCGCACTGTACCCTACATTTGCACTTTCAGTGGCTTAGTAGTGAAGAATGTCATCATCACAACAATCAGGGCGCTGACGGCGGGCGAAGTGAATGTGACGCTGGGAAACGTGAAGACCGCACTTCTGGACGGATGCGAAGCAGAATACCGGAAGTTCGTTGGAAGTGAAACTGTCCGGTTGGTCATAGCAGACCACGTGCCAGCCGACAGGCTGTTCCGGGTGCGGGGTGACGTCCACCGTGACCAGTGTTTTGCGGCGATTCAAATGAACCTCATTGGCGACGATGGCGATGACGACGAAAATAATAATATACTATCCTCATAGCACACATCGAAACCATGTGTCAGTCGGGTGTGTTTGTTGATGTGCCTACTTGGATTGGTTTATAAATTATAGTATAATATTACATCCACTTAAAGTTACCAAATTAACAATTAATATTTGTTTAGAAATATATTAGAATATAAGTGGGGATTAGTGGACTATATAATATGGATCTATGATAATCGCACTATGACGTCCACGTAATGATAAACGTCGATTGTAAATAGTGGTAGTGTGAGCGCCTGATGCATACCTTATAGGTATTATTTATTGTTACATTGAAATTATTTAATGTATTTGAGCAATGGTCACATTTTAATAGTTCTAAGAAAATAAACCAAAGATAATTTGGGAATTCACTATCAACGCGATTTCATCGTTTAACTTAAAATTTAGAAGTATTTTCAAAACAAATGATACATATTTTCTAATCATCCAGATCATACGAAAGTTCGAAAATCGTGTTATTCAAGTCTTTCTGTTTTTTCAAGATATAATAATTATTGAAGTTCAATTTCACTGAAATAATACCAAATAACATTATTAGCTATAGTATTATTGTAGTAGCTTCTGTGATATATATATATCTGTGATATATGCATATAAATTGTTTCTTGCTGTCATGGGGTGATTTATTTGTATTTATTTACAGTACGAGTAATTTGTCGTATGTTAATTAAGTTTATATTTATGTTAATTTAAAACAAGATATTATAACGATCTTCACACATTCATTATCAAACATAGTTGCCAGAACTCGTTCTGAAACCGTTAAAACATAATGCATTCGTCCATTCATTTCATTCAAGAATAATGAGAATGAGAACATTTTCCATGTGAAGTTTAAACGTTGGAATTTTCATTGTTATACTATTAACCATAATATATAATATTATGAACATGCAATAAACTCAGTCACCACATCTCATCGGCTCTATAAGTTTTCAACGCTAATAATTATCAATAAAGATAATATATTGTTATATTATAATTTATACTACTCAGAGTTTATTTGATGTAGGTATAATGTAAATACCTACTCGACGTAATGAGAATAATAGCTCCATACAGACGTATTGAACTTTAATGGAAAACCTGCACTCGGCCATAGAAAATCCGGTGGCTTTTAAGTCCGGTTTTGTAACCTTTACGCTGCAGCTATTTTTATCCACAGTGTAGAGTCCCTGGTACATCTCCCCACCCCCATCTACCACGACCACTACCTACTCTATACAACTACAATACTCACACAGGTGTATGATACGTATACACTATACAATCCTCACATACATTCAGATCGAGTACATGACGTATATATAAGTATACACTCGTACATGACGTGTGTTTATTATATCGGCCTGTTGTTCACTCAACAATTGCTCCGGCAAATAATCGAAACATGCCCTTCGTCCTAAGGGTCGGCCGCATTTGATATTATCATTATTATTATTATTATTATTGCTATTATTATATGCACAAACAACACACACACACACACACACACACACACACACACACACACACACACACACTCGTGTTTTTTTTTTGCATCGGTAGACTTTCCTATCCTCGGGCTACTCACCGTCACCGCCGCCGCACCTTCTCGCCGCGGCGATTTGAGTGAAATACCGAAAAAAATATGCGTTACGGTCCCGTCGAGTCTTAATGGCAAAAACGACCTGACGTCAGTTCACGGGTTTTGGCAAAGTATGCAGTTTTTCAAACCGCCCTGTATCTCTCGCGAGGCAACGAGGATCAACCCTATAACAATATAATATATTAGAGACTCTTTTATAGGAGCCCATATCCCACCAGGGTAAAAATTTTTAGTTCAAACGCCATTAATCTTAGTATAATACCGTGACCGTCGTAGGTAAGGGTGTATTGTCTCGGCTTGGCCACACGCTTATTTATTATCTGAAAATATAATATATACCTTTGATAATAATAATAATAATAATAAATTCAGCGCTTGAATTCGAAAAAAAACTAGAAGGGATTAAAAAATGTGGGCACTAAAATGTCTTTTTGATTAGAATACAATATTATTAGATAGGGTAAGTTATAACATTTTTAAAAATGAAGAGGTACTTCCTTTGTGCTCCCCAGAATTCAAGCACTGACTTAATTATAGTATAAAATATCACGAACACGTTATTTTTGAAAACATGCTTTTACTGGCATACTCAAGTCAACCATTTAAACTTACTTTTTTTATAATGGTTTTGGTGTAACGAAACATTTATTAGTGTGTAATTTTTATTTTTTTGTATTCATGTGGCAGTAGTGTATCTATAAAAAGTAAAGAAAAATAGCTGTGAACTTGTGAATATAATAGTAAAGAAATTACATTAGGACTGGTTTCAACTTTCAACCGATTTCAACTTTCATAATTTATCAAATGCGATGGTTATAGATTTTCGATTGTTAGTTTTAAATAGTATTATATTATTTAGGTTCTAGAGTAAAGTCTGTCCCCGGATAAACTGAATATTAATAATCGTCTTCCGTCACTAGCCTTTTTAAAAAATAGTTTTTAAAGATATGAATTTATAAATATTATGCGAATAAGATTATGTATTTTAAAACATATGTGTTTATAATGAGGTTATTTTGATTACATGTTATTAGTTGATAATGAGTTGACATCAATGAGATTGAATCTGAGGAAAGAGAAACGTCTAACCTTTAATTTGATTCAGCTTGATGAGAGAGCAAAACAATTAATAAGTAAATGAGAGAAGTCACCGTCTTCTGCTTTATAGTGTAGTAGAATACTTGAAAGTCTTTGGTTATAACCCTAAATTGTTAGAGTGTTTGGTTCGCCACTTGTGATTATAAAGCGAACGAGATTTGCTGAACAATACCACTTTTGGAACCCATGGTTGTTACCTAACTGTTATTAGAATACGTACCAACTGTTTTAAAATGAATGTTACGCAATCGCAAGTATAATGACAATAGAAAGTAATTAATTGTTTTCTGTTTTGTAAAAAGAAACGTTATAATATTTCATTATGCGCTTTAGATATAGGTTATAAAAGGTTATATGACCATACAGTTTATGTGCATGTATATTATGTAATATAATTAAAACATTTTCTTTACGAAGTTCTTACTATGAACTTTAAAAATAGAATTGAACTTTAAAATTAAATGAACAATAAAATCATACCTGAATAGTTATAAATTATTAAAGAGTTACCTACAGACGACGATTTGTATAAATACACATTTGAATGATAAAAAAATTACAGATAATACCTAATTATACTAAATTCTTTAAAAGTTCATCAAAATTTGATGTTTTAACAACCGCTATTAATATTATACAATATTTGAAAAGTCTTTTAAATGTACAACATCCGAATTACGAGTGGCTTTAAGAATATTTTACAGAATATAGTATGTAAAAACACATAACTAGACCGGGAAATAATTCTATATATTAATATTTTTATTGTTACATGTGTATTCGTGTCATTAATTATTAAAAGTTATTGTAAATTATAATAGTTATTTGCTTTATATATACCCTTATAATAGAAACCAAATATTTAAAAAAATAATAAAGTATTACATTATATTATATCATATACAATATACATTATTATAATTTATAATATTATATATTTTATTCACACGACTGTTCGTGTTTACATTATGAATTTGTGTGAAATATTTTCAATTATCCAATACGTTCAAGTGTGTATACAAAAAAAAAAAAAAA